TTATTGAGCTTGCTCTTGAGGTAAAAAGAAACAACTGGCTAAATGCACCCGCACTTAAACCATAATTTGAGGTTCATATATTCTGACTTGTAATAACTTTGGGTCTGTAGTTTATTAAGACAGACTACTTAAGGCAGGAGACGTGCGTGCCCAACAAGCTTTCACTGTGAACTTGGCTAGGGGCATAGACCGTCGCCTATTTGTGTCGAGGTAACGGAACTTTGCTTCTCAGTTGTGCAAATTAATCCGTACTTGTCTTTTTATGACTTATAGAGTCGAATGTATCGTGCAAGTAGTGGTTACTTCGTGAAGCTGGATGATAAATATTTTCCAGGTGGAGACAGTCAGTCGTTAGGACACCTACCCTGTAGCAAGCATTGTTCGACCTTGTGGGAGTTTTCTAGGCAATTATGACTTGTATGAGCACCTAAATGGGAACAGGAAGTGCTCATAATACACGTGACCCTGCACCACATTCCAAGGAAATTCAATTTAGAATTGAATTGATAGTTAGGCTTAAGGTTAGGATTAGGTTTAAGGTCGGAGTTCGGCTTAGGGTCAGGATTATGTAAAGGGCTAAAGGTTTGGGTTTAGGGTAGGACCGGGGTTAAGGTTACAGTTTGGTTTTATTTTGGGGACAAGAGAGCACCTACCTTCCCTGAAATGTATCGTCTCTTTTACGTGGATGCGGCAGCCATATAAGTCATCCCCATCGTTTGCTATTTCCTGCAGTCTGAATAAGTAAAAAACGGAATTATCTACTGCAGTATCATGAAAGTACTCACTTGGATAGGTTGTGTAGCCCCACATCTCCACCTACTATGGTTCTTTTAGTAGGCTTTGTCTTGTTTATTATCATATGGCTGCGGGAAGAAACCATTTGCGTGTTTGAGCCCTCACGACATCCCCAACCACTTTCTGTTGTTAAATGTCTACTCTGTGATTTAATTTCTTCTTTAAAAAGGCTAGCTAAGGCAGATAGTATCGCTGACAAAGACAAGGAGACTGGAATGGCCATTTCTGGCTTATTAGCCGTTGTCAGCCAGTCATACCCAGACCCAAGTGGCGTCCCATCCGAGCGTCAAACTCGTGACCCCTTTGATCCGATTCAACCGCCCTAACCATTGATCCACGAGATTGCTGTCTTGCCGAGTTAGTTCGAGGGATATTGGCACTCATTGATGAACGTTCACTCGACCGTTAACGGGACTCATCTGTCCCGCGCTGCCTGGGGCCTCGACAGAGGCCCTGACAGCCGTAGCAGCTGGTAGTATAGGCTGGCTGGCTGGCTAGTAGTCCTTGTTGGATCAGGAGCCCCGCCGGGTTGGCGAGGAGGGGAAGTCGGAGCA